ATTATATCTCAATCATACATGGCCTAGTTGAAATAATTGATAGTCATTGGTCACAGATGCCGAAAAGATTAGGAGTAATGTTACATGGACTTACCTATTCTTCTCACTCCACGTAAGTATCTTCCGGAGACAAATTTACACACTACAACTTTTTGAATATTGAGTCACTCAATTGTGTTCCTCACACACGAGTGCAACCATCATTGTTCAAAAGATAATAGCTATCTATTTTAATATATTAAATCAATAATTTAATTCTAAGATGTTTTTTAGGGCGAAGACTCAACTGTATTTCTCATACACAGTAGAAGTCAACTTAACTTCATAAATTTTTTCTTCTTTGTCATCACTTTCACATTTTTTTCCATCACAAAAGGGTTGGTATCTTCCTTCTACAACTCTAATTACTTCTTTTACTTATTTTCACTTTCTTTACAATAAAATCTCATTACTTTGATCTTTTTCCTCTAATTACTAAGTAAGAATGTTATTTGAAAAACTGTTAATAAAGAGTACTTTAGAGAGTAATTATGAAAATTACCTTTTTAGTGACACTTAAAGAGTAATTATAATTTTTTAATTTATTTTTAAAAATTAAACATATAGGATATAAAATATTTACCGGTTTACATGAGATTTTTCCACACATAGTGTCTTCATGTGGGAAATTGACCCCACTAATATTGATATACCTAAAATAATAAAAGAACAACGATGGAAGAAAGTTGAATGAAAATGATATATGTTTAGTGCATGGTGTGATCAGACAAGCTAATATGAGTGAATGTGCATAGTTTGTAGGGTATTGCATAATTTCTTGTGGTACACTAACTTTATAGCTCAAATACTGTATGGTCTGAGTTGTTCTTTGTCAACCAGTCTGTGTAACGTTACGGATACAAATCACGGATCATATAATACAGTTGTAAAGGGGCCAAGACATTTAAGAAGAGAAGAAGAACATTGATGGAGCAAATTATCTCTTCTTAATTTTTTCAACATTGTTCCCCATGACAAAGTTAAGCATAAATACTCTTTTTTCTTGCATAGGACTACTATAAACAGTAAAAAAAAATATTTTTTTTAAATATGTAACACAATTACATTTATTTCAAGACGCAAATTAAATTATTTACATGCATGATAAGTATAAACACTTTTAATAACATGATTGTGTTACTGAAATAAATAATAAATATTTATTAATTTAATTCTTAAAATTGCAAGAAAAGTAGTCTTTAAAATTAATTAAGTTCTGAAAATCAGATCACCAATTAATTTATAATATTAACATATATGTTATTTTGTCCCTCTAATAATAATTCTTAATCAATTTAGTTTATAATGTTAAGAAATTAACCAAATTACATCATAGTTATAGATTAAACTGACAAATAGTCACTAAAGTTAGAGATATAATTGACATGCATGCTTTAATATCAAGGATTGCATTGATTAATAATTACTGATTTTAGAAAATAAAATGATTAATAATTATAATTTGATAGACTAATTAATTTATTTTGTTACTAATTTTGAATTGTATTTATTCCATTTTTATTTTTTAAATTTTTTACCTATACAAATTAGAATATCTAAAATAACTAAAAAGTTATAGTAGTTTATATTTACAATAATTTGTATTAATTTTAAAACACAATTATTTCTTATTATTTAAGATTTTTTATTTAATATTAATTTAATATGTTGTATTGTATTCACGATATCTTATATATACCTTTTAAGAGAATTATTCAAGCCTCTTAAGCTGTATTCATCTATCATATTCTTAATCATCATAAAATAATATTTTTAACACATTTTATGATCAAAATTAAATATTTAATACGTGGTGTGCATATTATTTGACCGTTTGTTTAATTTTTTTTTATGAAAGAACATTTTCAAAAATAATTATTCTTCATTATTTTAGATTACTTGATTTAGATTACGAAGAAAAATAGAAGCAAAAATAAATAAACTTTATCTTTTAAAAATTTATTTTAAATAACTTCTAAACCACTATGGAGCACGTGAATCAACTCACGTATAGTTGCTTCAGCTTAACTTTGACCTTAAGTTAAAGTATTAATAAATATAATTATCTTAAATATTTTTTAAAAAATTGTTGCTTACAGTAATCCATTCAATTTAAATCGAACTACCTTACAAAGCTGAAATGATAATTATTCACTGAAAAAAAAAACACTTTTTATAATAACAAAAAAACACAGTTTTTATAAATTCCCTAAAAATATTTTTTTATATATCTTTATAATCACTTTTTAAAAGTTAAAACAAATTATCTAAACTTCTATGAATAGGCTTTTTTATTTAAATAATGCTATTTTAAAAATAATTTTTTAAAATAGGTATACTTTAAAACTAATTCTTTGGTATTTTCTTTTTTTGCCAACTCAGCAGTAGTATCGCTTATGCATAAACGATAGTAAATTTTTATTATTATTTTAATATACTATTATTTCAGTATTGCCGATACTACACAAAAAATTGACACATGTCAAAATCATATGTATATCAGACAAAATGAAATGATAATATATTTTTATTATTATTTTAATACACTATCGTCATATAATATTCGATACTCTCATTTTTTTAATCAATTTTAATACTATCGTTACACATTAACTGATACTTATTTTTTTTATTATTATTTTAAAAATCTATCGTCTTAAACTCTCTTATACTCAATTTTTTATTTTAACAAAATTTGATTGCTATTCTTGCATCAATGAAAGTACTGTAATCGTGTATAGTGTAAATTGCGATAGCATTTTGTGGGCTGTTCTTTGATTATAATCAAGCGTCATATAAAATAAATCAAAATCATATTTAAACTAACAAAAATATTATCAACATGTTAAGACAAGAAAACGTAATATATTCAAAGATAACTAGGTATTTTGATACATTTTCACTAGCTCAGCCACTTTATTAAGTGTTAATGAATCATTCTCTAAGATATAGGATCAATGCTTTTTTACTTAAATAAGAGTTAATGAATCATTGATGTAAGAGTTGTGATCAAATTTTGTTAAAATAAAAAATTGAGTATCAGAGAGTTTAAGATGATAGATTTTTAAAATAATAATAAAAAATAAATATCGATTAATGTGTAATGATAACATTAAAATTGATTAAAAAAATAAGAATATTAGATATTATATGATGATAGTGTATTAAAATAATAATAAAAATGTATTATTGTTTCATTTTGTTCTATATACATATAATTTTGACACGTATTAATTTTTGGTGTAGTATAGACAATACTGAAACGATAATCTATTAAAATAATAATAATAATTTACTATCGTCTACGCATAAATGATATTACTTTTGAATTGACAAAAAAAAAGCACCAGGTAATAAATTAGTTTTAAAATATACCTGTTTTAAGAAATTATTTTAAAAATGACATTATTTAAGTAAAAAAGCCCTATGAATGGCCCAATATTAAAATTGATATAAGAAAGAGATTAACTTAGCTAAATCCCAAGAGCTACTTTAATATCTTGAATTGTATTTATGATTTTAGGCAGCAATGGGTACACTAGATGGATGAACTTGCATCTTTCTCCATGTATCTAATTTTGACTGCTTGAACAAAACAGGGGAGTAGTTGGTTGATTAATATCAATTAGGTAACTGGGACGGTCTAATTAATTTTAGCTTTATAAAGATCATAGACTTCAGGTTAGGTATCTAAGAAGAGGTATATATATATATATATATATATATATATGAAACTATAACTGGGCACGAAAATAACTCTTATGTATCAGTTTTTATTATCTTAATTAACCTACACAAATCACGTAATAAATAAGAATAGTAATTGGTGAGCGTGTGATGAAGACAAGAAAAACAGTCCAATCCTTGCCGAAGATATTCTTGCAATCGTAAACATGAAAAGATAATTGATGTGACAAAGGCACAACCTTTTCGTTTGTTAGCAATGTAAACGTCCAACCTACACTTACGGCTAAAAAGATAGTTAAAATATAATAAGCTATGGAATTTATTTGGATTTATAAAAATTATTTTAAGGTTTTAATAATAAAATTATAACACAAAGTTTCATATAACAAAAATGTATTAAATTTATAAAAGAAATATTTAAATTAAATTATTTCCTTAAATATACCATTATTATCGTATCTTATCATTTTTTTTATGGAATAAAACAAATCTATTGTTATTTTTTCAGAACAACACGTACAAGCGTACAACGCCGAAATCCCCAGTAAATATCAACCAAACTCTTAATCGTGGAATAATTGAACTTTCCAGTTCAACAAGTATATGTTCACCAAATACATAATATATATATTTTTATTAAAAGATATAAGATAATATTATTAACTCATTAAGTTGTGTAATGTCTTTTTTTCAGTAAAATTACTATTAATTTTTTTATTATATGCATTGAAATACATTGTAAAAATGAGTATTTTTCATAATATATTTTCATTATAATATGTACTTTTATTTATAATTAATTTTAGAACAATCAAGTCTTAAATATCTATGTGAACCTCAATAACAAAAATTAGAAATATGCCTACAATAATTTCTAAAAGAAATACTAAAAATACGTTTTCAAAAAAATCATTTTAATCCCTAAAAATCATAACTAAAAAATGCTTCGTTCTTTGCATTAAACAGACTAAAGTGTCTCATTTATAATTTTTTTTAAAAATATTTAGTAACTTTTGGTGAAAGGCTAAATTAAATTGAGTAAAAATCTTCAAAAACTAAATTAGATATTTACTCTTAAAATATATTGAAAGAACGTGTAAAAATAATTCGGCTAACATTTTTCAAGATATTACAATCTTTGGGTAATGTAGGTGAAGGCTGGGACAATAAGAAAGCAACACAACATCGTACTCTATCAAATCACATCAATTGCATGCTGAAGTTCATGGCATTAAAATGTGACGCCAATCTAATGATTCCAAGAAGAAAAACCAAAGCAAAAACACAATAAGCAATTATATCTCATAGCATACAGACCAGATGCATTCACTCAACACTTGGCTCAGCATATGGTCCCAAATGTTCATTGGTTTGTAGCCTCTAGATCTTATGGAACACAAGGAGGTTTAAACACAAAACAACTGAAATTAAATACTAAAATTTCTTATTTATCAAACATAATACTTAGACAAAGTTCCAATGCAAAAGGGTAGCCTAGACTAAAAACTTGTCCAACATTTGCTGAATACATTCAGTAAGGATCAGTCTTTCTCAGAAGCTTCTATATATAATTGTTTCCATTGTTTGCAAGAGTAAATTGCATCCAAGTATTGTTACTCTTTATGTGCATCAACCTTTGAAGGGGTTTCAGATTCATCACTTTTAACAGGTGCAGTTTCTGAAGGGACATCTTCAGTAAGCTTGGAAGATTCGGCATCACGAGGAATAGATTCTGATGGTTCACCAGTTGATTGAGTAGATTCGGATGGTTCACTTGTGGATTCTGGTTCAGCCACTGGAACTGTCTTTTTGATAGTTCCAACCTTTACATACTTGCCCATAAACTTGTATTCCCAGTCTTGTAAGGCCTCAAGCTCAAATGGACCCAGACCAGAGATATCACCTGTTAGATCTTTCTCTTCAAAAGACATCTTTGCTAAGGCTCTGCTAGCATCCTTGCCAGCAAATAGAGCATAAGGTCCACCGGGTCCATAAAACATCCTGGTAGAACACATTACAAAACATCAAAAAAATATGAAAAGAAAAACATATATCAATTTCCTTTTGCAAAATATTTCTTGGAGGCACTTAAGAGTAGAAATCAGAGGAAAAGGCAATATAATATTTTTGTCAACTAGTAAAAGGAACAGGGATTCTTTCTCACATCTACATTCTACAATAATAACCTTTGTAGTTGCCACTAACAATGGACATATGCATGCTAAGAGCAGTATCGGGAGTCAAGTCTGCAGGTGACTCCTTTCAATAGAGCTCGAATGGCAATTCAAACCATTTTGAACCCATCATTCCCAGCCTAGTCAAAAAAAAAGGAAGGGAAAGAGAAGAAAAAGGTGCTCTGAATCCTCTAATTCAGAATATATTCAACTTACTTCCTAGATAACTTTGTTGGTATCTAGATCATTGCATCAGCAGTTCCCTTAACTCTAAATTTTCATCTGATTATTGGACAAGAATCAATTTACTTTTAGAGCTTACACAGCTTAATTTCTTGTACATCAGAAATTTGGCTTGGGATGGTTGACATTTGTCAGTTTTAGAATGAGTAAAGTGAAATATATTTTATAATGTTTAAAGACACATTCCAAGCAATGTTTAAACTTTTGAGTGATGAATGATAGGAAAAATTGTCATCCTATTTTCCATCTTATTCAAGATTTGACAATCATTGCTAAGTTTGTTAGCAGGTAGCAACCAAAACATAGTTTGGCTGAGGTTTTAATGTCCTCAGCAACATGAATAGTTCATATAGAAAACCTTTTTGTTAGAAGTTGTGAGACCAAAACCTTAAGACTCTTCAAAGGTAACTAGAACAGACTGAATTAAAAAGAAAAATAATCAAGATTCATAAAGAATAACAATACATTCACAAGCAGAGCACAACTGCACATAGGTTCTACCAATCTATATAAAAAGTAAGATACATTTGTTTTTCCTTCCTCGTCATACCCACCTACTCTTCAATCAGAAATTTGAATGATTCATATTGTAAAAAAATTGTACAAAAACCTGAGCTTATTGGACAACTTATTTTTGGATAATAAGAGGGAATTATCAAGTTCAGTACTTGATAAAGCAATATTTGCAACAGGCAGGCCAAATTTGAAAATTGGGAGACCCAAAACCATAACTTCCGGGTGAAACTAAATAAACACACAAATTCATTATATCTAGATATAGAAAGGACATTACGGTAAGAGACAAAATCCCTTCAAAACTAAGGAGCATATCAATACTATAATTTGTCTAACCCTCTCTTTTGAGTCTAGATGCATGAAAACTACAGTTAAAATCATTGGAAAGTGCGCACGACATATATTAAAATGAGTAAAGCATGGAGGAACTGAGGGATACCCTTCTCAACTAAGTAAAGCAATTTCTGAGTGGAATGAAATGGAGTGGAATGAAACCAAATAGAATAAAGTTATTATATTGTTTGGATATTTTATAATAGAATAAAAATAAGACTAGTTTCATCCAATATTTACCAAATTAGAAATAAATAAAATGAGAGATATTGGATGAAATGGACTGCATTCCTACAGATTCTATTTCACTCAGTTCCATCCCTTTCCATCAATCTATACATAGCCCTCTACTAGGCACAAAGTTGGAAGAAAGAAAATTTCAAATGAATGTCACTTTAAACTTAGTGCACGTCTGGTTTTTCCGTTGAGAAAGGTGGAAATTAAATGAAGCCATTTTCTCTTAGAGACAACTTAGGTTAAATGTCATTATCACTCAGCACTCCACTTCCCTCCTACCTACTACTCCACCTAATACCGAAACAGACCCGGAGGCTAGGCATAGCAGAAGTGTTGACCAGAAGTTGAAAAATGGAGGCCTAAAAATTAAAAATGTATTTGAATACAATACACAACCTCGCATACATCCAGTATCTTCAATCCTCCAATTCCTACCTTCCAATTTTCCACCTCCACCAAGCATACCCAAAAATGCTTGTAGTTAATAACATGAAATTTCAAAACTTGAGAAGAAGCGCATCTTCTTCTCACCGTAAAACAATAACAAAATCAATACCCCTAATATGAAAAAATTCATAATCCCATAAAATCTAATCGTCAACCCCGCTCCACAAGATAAAAGACACCAAAAGCATACCCAAAAAAGGATAAATTTTTAACAAAAGTACCACAAACCCCCACCCCCGGAAAAAAAAAAAAAAAACCTCAAACAACGAAAGAAATACTCAGAATAACCAAATAGACAGATAAATCATACAAAAGGATCAATTTTTAACCCAAAAAACGCATTCTTCAGCCAAAAAAACAAAATTTTAAAAATCATACCCAGAACCCAAAAAGCCCCCGTTGACCAAACAAAGTGAGACCCAGAACCATAAATCAGAAGAAGTAAAAAGGGTAAGAATCAAAAAGCAAAAGGGGCGTTTCGAAGTGTTGGCGTTAATAACAACATAGCTAAACCTGCTCTGCGAAACATCATAGATCTGACCCTTGATGGCCATGAGAAGGGGCTTGTCGCGATCAGAGCCATCATAGGCTTTGAGCTCTTCCTCTGTGACCTCACCGATCTGAACGGGGGGTCGCAGAGGCTCCATCTGAGGCTCAAAGTCCTTCGAAGTTGCATGGCGCTGATCAGAGGAAGGGAAAAGACCCGAAACGACGTAGTAGAGAGCGAGGATGAGGGCGAGGAGTGTGAAGAAGGTGGGTGGAGAGAGACCAGTGTACGCAACTATGGCTTCCTTCAGGGTTTCCCACAGTTGCAAAGCCATTTTCTTCCGTTGTTGGTGTTGCACTTCGTGTGTTGGCGTCAGAGAGAGAAGAAGAAAGGGACGAAAAGGTTTAGATTTTTATAACAGCGTCGTCGATATGCTATTCAAGTCATTGTCAGTTGTCACTCACTCTCCTTTTATTTTATTTTATTTTTGAAAATATCGTAAATATTATTTTTTAATAAAGACCTATTAATTTTAAATACTTTAAATTTATTTTCAAATAAAAACTTAAAATTAATAAAAAAAATTTATTTTTTAAGATTTAAAATTTTTTATTTTTAAAATATATTAAATTTTCTTTTATCCTTTACAATTTTTTAAATTTATTAATTTTAATTTTTATTTATTATTAAATTATATTACCAGTAAATACTTTTTAATTAAGCATTAGGAGTAAAAACTTTATTACAGACTGAAACATAAATTATTAAATAATAATATTGTCAATTTATATTTTATATTAAGTTTATTTTTTATAAAATTATATTAGTGAAAAATAAATAATAAATAAAATTTTAAAATATAAAATTAAAAGTATTTTTTAAAAAGTAAAATTAAATAATATATTTTTATTTATTTTTATTTTTTTACTTTTGCCTTTATGGGCTCTGGTTTTGCAACTAGGTTGACTAATAAAATTGCCACGAGGTACATGTTGACATATACTAAATACTAAGGTTGCGTTGGTTTGGGTGTTGTCAGCAGCGTACGGAGTCAGTGGTTCTTTGCATATCCTTCAGAACTCCGTATATGCATTTAATGGACGTTCCGATCTGCGTTCAGTCAGATATCTTACCTACTGAAACTCTACAAATTTATTTAATTCATTTTTATTTTCATTTAATATTTCACTTTTTTTATTTAAACAATTTTGAGTTCAGATTTTACATTTATTAATTCTGATTTTTATTTTTTATTTTAAATAACTAAACTAATTTTTCAAAAGAGTTACACTTTTAAAGATTTTAGCTTAAATAAAGAATAATTCTTTATTTCAAATGACAGATCATCTATTTCTAATAATAAATTAAATAAATAATTTTTTATGTAAAAATTTATTTATTTTATTTAAAATATTCATGAAAGATAATTTTTTTTTACTTTTTAAGGCTAATTTGATTAAGATAATAAAATAATAAACGATAAAATGTAAAAAAAAATCGATAAACTCTTCTCCAATTGTATGTTTAATGTATACATAAAGTAATAAAAGAGATAAAAAGTATGTTATTTTTTAATATTTGAGAAAATAAAATATATTTAAATGAAAAAATTACTCATTTCTCAAAATTAATATAATTTTAAAATATCTCATTTTTTACTTTCATATATATATATATATATATATATATGAAATATTTTTATGTGCCTATGATATTAAAAGTTGATATTGAGATATTGAGTTATAATAATTTTATTTAATTTTTTTTAGATAAAATTATAATTAAAACAAAATTTATATTTTTTGATATTTTTTAAATATTTTTCAATATTTTTTAAAATTTATACACTTTTTAAGATATTTTCTACTAAAAAATATTCTTATAATTTTTTATAAAGAACATTAAAATTATACTTTTAAGACAATTTTTATAAAATATTAAAAAATATAAATTATATATAAAAATGTAACCGAAAAAAATTTATCTTATCATGATATTTATTAAAAATAAGAGTTTAAACTATGATAATTTAATATGATACAATAAGTTATTATAACTTATCAATCATCAAATACTAAAAAATAACACAAAATAAATTAAATTATCATCCTTCGATGTAAAAAGTTAAGTTTTAAAAATATTACTGCAGTAAAAATTTAATCTTAAAAGTTAGACTTAATTATATTTTTAGTCTTTATAATTATTAGTTATTTTGTGATAAGTCCTAATAAAAATTTTTATTAAAATTTAGTCTCTAAAAAGTTAAGAAATAAGGTCCTATTGTTAACTATCTTCTGTTAAGTGTGGAGTTGTCAAAGTCAGCTCAACACTGTCACGTGTCATGTTATTTTATTTATTTTATATTTTATTATTTAAAATAAGTATTTACAAAAATGTTCTTAAATATATTTTACATATTTACAAAGAAAGTCTTTTTCTTCCTCTTTTAACTCCTTCTTGATCTCACCCTCAACCTGTAACATCTTCTTTTCATTTTTTTATAAATTATATTTTTATGAATGTTAAGAAGTATCAGAATGCATTTAGATGTAAGTTTAAAGGATTTTTAAAAGAGTTTTTATGCAGGAGATTTCGCTTAGACGAGGTAAATTTCGCCTAGGCGAGATTGAGCATGTAAGAATATCTTACTATAGGGCTATCTCACTCAGGCAAGATGATTTTCGCTCAAGCGAGATAGGATAAATGTTGCCTAACTATCACCTTGTCCAAGCGAGAGTGATCTCGCTCAGGCGAGCTAAGGATCTCGTTCAGGCGAAATGGGTCGCTCAAGCGATGACCCACAGGAGAAATAACATGCTCTCTGGACATCATCTCGCTCAAGCGAGATAGAGATCGCTCAAGCGAGCATATCAAAAAATAATGGACGAGACCACTATCTGCATATCTCGTTCAAGCGAGATGCTCATCGCTTAATCGAGATGTTGTCGCTCAAGCGAGATATTCCTCGCTCAAGAGAAAATGTGCGGGGTTGAGGGGTATTTAAGAGATTTCTCGCATGAAAAATTTATTCTATTACAAACTCACATCCCTCTCTCAAGTTTTCTCTGAACTCTCTCTTCCTTTTATTTAGATAAAAGCCTTAGAAACTCTTATTTCTCTTTATAATCACACTTGGACATTGAAGCTAAGTGATTCTAAGTAAGTCTCTTTGGATTAAACTTGAGTTTTTCTATCATTTTCCTATTATTGTTCTTATGGATATCTCTTGATACTCAGGAGAACTTTCATCCGTGAACCTTGATCCTTTTCAATATTTCTTCTTAAACTCATCTTTGAGGTAAGGAGAACTCTATTTTATCGTATAGTACAATATTTATTTATACTCATAGAGCACTATTAGGTGAATATGGTATGAGAATAGATGATGTAGATATTTATTGTGTGGAGTATGAATGAAGACATGTTTGTTTGATTGTTTAGAATGATTGATTGTTTGGGCCAAAGGGCTTATGTATGCTTATTTGTATTGTATGATGAGTACTTGATATAGAATATTATGGAACTTGCTGAGTGATTTTGTGTGATTTTATGATATATATTTGAGTAAAATGATATAAGGTAATGATATTGATATCAAAGATTTACGGTTGAAATTATATCAATAAATATATGCGTGAAATAGACTTAGTCTGCAGTGCTTTACTAAGCACAATTTGATGAGTGAGAAAGAGAATAATGCTGAGAATGACCTAAGGGTCGAATATGAATGGAATCTAGGGTGAATAGTTATAGAGATACACTTGGAGTATAGAGTCCGAAGATGATGAAAATCTCGGGAAAATATTTGGTGGTGAGCGACATTCATGTATGTGTATACACATTTTCTGAGAGTGAATGCGTCACTAGGTCTCACTTGTTTCCTGACTAGACTCTTGACTATGCCTTTGCTAAAAATTCTGATTATTGTACATGTTGTATCTGTATGCATGAGCTAACCGGCGACTATTTACCTAATTGAGTAAGATCTCGAGAAGTACTGGATGCATCGATATCTATGATCACAATGCATTGGGAGTGCGTGTTGAAATAAGAGAAAGGAAAATAGATAATAAAATATTGATTATTATGTGTGATGTGAATATGTTGGTGAATCTGAATTCATGAAATTGAATGTGTTATATTTATATTAAAATTTTGATTTTATGTTAAATATTTTTTTTAAAGGATAGAATAAACGCTCATCCTTACTAAAATTTTTAGAAAATCAGGATGACGGAGCCTCAGTGAAGAATTAGACTAGTATATAGTTCTGTATATTTTAGGTTAAATTATGTATTTAATGAATATTAGAGAGTAAATTATTTTAAATTTACTGTACTTGTAGAAGATAAAACTATGATTTTTGTTATGATAGATATGAATTTTTCTTATAGCATCCCTTTTGACTTCTCTAGTAGTAGAATACACTAGACCCTATATGTATATATATACAGAGATACTGTTAGAACCCTGACAACTTTTACTTACCTATTATGACCACAACCACCTCAGAAAACTGTCCAGATGGACATTTGAACATGTCACTGGTACAGAGGTCAGAGTAGATTTGAAATATTGTTGTTTAGGTTCAGATGATGATCTTGATTCAGAGGATTTGACTGAGATAGAAAGTTGACATAGAGTGGATGAGTAAGACCGGTCTTCAGTAGTTGATTTTAAAGAAAAACTGCTTTGGGACTTGTATATTTTTATGGATTATAAATATTATGGTTATGTATATATTGTTGTAAATCTCATCCATTTTGACAAACAGTTTGTAATATTTAAAGTTAAAATATGTATTGTATATATAAATTTCTTATGAAGACTTCTAAGTTGTATTTATGATATTTATTTACTTTTTTCGATCTTCATTAATATTGCAAATTTTTAAAATTTCAATTTATATATAAAATGAAAAGAAAATTTCAGTAATTTGCTATATAAGTTCATAAAATTATGGAAAATATGTATTATTTCAATTGATTAAGAATAATTCATACATTGTACGAATTTTTGAGATAAGAATGTTACACAACCCCTTTCCGTTAGCTCCACCTCCCCCTAACCTCCAACTCCTACCTCACACCTCATTTCAACATCCTCTCCTCAAACAAAAAGCAAGTGTAGCATATGGCAAGGTAGTTGCACAACAAGAAAATATTAATCAACACATAAAATTCTAAATGTAAGTTCGTATAGAGAGTGGTGATGATTGCTATCACACCTTTAGCTGACATCATTAAAAGACTTAGCTGGTTACAATAAAAATAAAAGAAATAAATAAGAAAAATAAAAAAGGTAGAAAAGCCAATCTATTTACACATATTTATGATCTCAAAGTATCATAGAAACTAAAGAAGCTAATTAAGTCTCATAAGGAAAACACTGATAACACTTTACAAATAACTTAAATGTGTTAATTTGGTGTATAAAATTAATCATGCTTGCCCATCCTACCACCAAAATCCAAACTATATCAAACATGTTTATGGAAGAAAGTGTGAGATTGGTTGCAGGGTGAGAAAAAATGTAAGAGTAAATTATGAAAATAGAAAAAAGTAGAGTTAGCGGTGCCGAATATGTTTGTGTGTGGAAAGGAAGGGGTTAAGGTTGGAGGTTGGAAGGAGGGAAGGGTATAGAGAAGTGGAAGGGTTATAAGAGAGGTTTGTGATTAGGGGTGAGAGAGGTGGAAAAGGAAGGAGTTACATGAGAACTTTGTGATTAAGGAGTGAAAGAGGGTTTATAGAAGAAGGTTGGAGTTGGAGTAGGGGTTAGGAGGAGAGAGAAGAGTTATGAGTACGGTTTGGGATTTGGAGATAAGTGGATAGAAATAGACTACAGTAAAGTTTGGGGTTGGGAGTTAGAGGTTGAGGATAAGGTGGGATTGAGAGGGGTTGAGGGAAAAAGAAGAAGACTTTTTTTGTAAATATGTAAAATATATAATATATTCAATGACTTTTTATAAATATTTATTTTAAATAATAAAATATTATAAAATAAATGACGTAGTATGACATATGACAATGTTGAGTCAACTTTCTGTTTGCGCATTTAATATAGAATAGTTAATAGTAACTATTAAATCTTAAGTTTTTAACTTTTTAGAGGTTATATTTAACAAAAGATTTTATAAAGACTTATCATAAAATATCTAATGTTTATAGAGATAAAAAAATAATTAAACCTAAAAGTTAAATATAAAAGTGCTTGATTTTTAAAGTAACTTATACAATATTTTTATTTATTATTTTATTTTTTAAAATAAATTTTAAAAATATTTTTAATTTTAAATTAAAATATATATTTAATTCTAGAATTGATATTGGTTTACGAATTAATTTATATAATTAAAAATATTACATTTTAAACTTTATATAAGTATTTTATTATTATTTTTAATTATGAACATCAGTGTTATAATGATAATAATTTAAATATAACAAAATAATATATAATAATTAAAATATAAAGACTAATTCATAAATAATGTAAATTATGAAAATTAAATGTATATTTTTAATTTTTAATAAATATTTTTAATTTAATCTAGCTTATCTTTTTAAGTTTTCATCTTTTAGTTTATAATTTTCTATCAGCATTTTTAACTATAATTTTATCATATATACCCCCCATGATTTATTTTTAACATAAAATAATCAGTAATAATTTTTCAAGGACGAATTTTAATGCATTTTATATGATAGTAATTTTTTCCCACTCATTGTTAATCATATATATACAAACAGATCTTCAATGCAATATAAAATATTGTTAAACAAAAATATTTTCCTCGTAATTTAGACACTCCAAAACCTTGTTTTGGGATTTACAACTTAAACAAGTGTTTCAGGATATACAATATGTCACCCATCTAATTTCCAACAATTAGATACGTCTTACGTTTCAAATTATTTATTATAATGAATATTTTAATTTATTTCAAAATAGTTTATCAATTTAAAATTTAAGAAAATAATAATTATTTTTTAAGAAAGTGATTTATTTATATCTCAATCAATTTAATGCTCGCTCAATTACTTATTAAACATGTATAATAAATAGTAGAAGTTAATAATTTATTTAAAAAATCTATAAATATTAATTAATTTTTAAAATATTATAAATCACAGCTATTAATTTAAAAATTATATAAAAATATTCCTTCAAATTTACCACTATTATAATAAACATCACACTATTATTCTCCGATCAAAACACATGACTAGTAAACTATAGGCATATGCCACATAGATATATTTTTTTTACAAAATGACTAGATTGAAATGTATTTTATATGACTTCAAAAAAATTAAACTCAAACTCTTATGTTGTCACCTTTTCTTTCACTTGTCGTTTTTTTTATTTTTCTTCTTCAATCACTTACACCAATAATATTGCCTCAAACTATAATGAAAACCACTATGATATGATAACTTTTTCCTATCCCAACCTCCCCTCATCATCATCACCTACTCCACAAAGACATCTATTCCATTAATGGAAACCCAAGTTCTGGAATCAACAAAGATGGCTACAGAGAAATACATCAATGAAGGAAATTCATAACTGATCATCCCTTGGCATCACACACTAGAGTGCGTAAGTTATATCTTTAATTACATTTTGTGTAAAAGAGAGAAAGTTAAGATTTTTATAACTTTTCTTTTATTGTATCTTTATTTCAGTATATGAGTTAGATTGAAAGATACCAAATATGATCCACCATTTTGTTGTATTATACTACCGGGATAGGGTTGTGTTTTTCAACAATGATAATTACTAGTAAATTTGATCATTATTCTTAATTTAGCATATATACTCTCTTACTCAAGTTTGAGTGTATTCACTCTTAATAATGAATCTCTTCCACCCCATGGAAACTCTTTTAACCAAAATCTCACGATCCAAGTTCCTCTATCATATTCTTAATAGAGGCAACTCATTTTCCCCTTGAATCCACCCCTTCAACACTATAGACATGATGTCTTTTTTCTTAAATAAATAAATCATCTAATAGGTCACAAATTTAAACTTATATTATTTTTTTCTATTAAAAACAATATTTTCGTGCACAGTTAAATGAAGTAAGATAGATATAAATATTTTTTTAGCTCAATAAATTTTTTTATCTTAAAATGAGACACCATTATTTCTCTCTTAGAAACTCTATAATAAACGAATAATTTTTTTAAAAATAAAAATGTATAATAAATAAATAAATGAAAGTATTCTTTGCCGACCAATCAATCATCCTTGTCAGCTTGTATCTAAATTTTGTTGTTTATCGTAATCACAACCTGCCCTTATGACAAACATTTTTATATTGCACGAAATAAAGCTAGAAATCAGGTTCGCGTTTCGAATTTGAAACGAAAACGAAACCCTCCAATTGTTTTCCCTCTTAGAAAAAAAAAATCCATTGTCTCTCATACCAACGTCTCAATCTGCATTCCGATGGGTGTGAAGAATTTGTGGGATATACTCGAATCATGCAAGAAAACGGTTCCTCTTCACCATCTTCAGTTACGTTCGTGAACAAAATTTGTTCTTTGATGTAGAATCCTGTTCCCTTTTTGACGAATTGAAGTGGGTCTTTGTTGGTTTCTCAGGAACAAGAGGGTGTGCGTGGATCTCTCGTGCTGGATGGTGCAGCTTCACAACGTTAGCAAGTCACACGCATGTGTCAAGGAGAAAGTGTACCTCAGAGGACTCTTTCACCGACTTAGAGCACTCATTGCACTCAATTGTACACTGGTTTTCGTCGCAGGTTCCTTTCTCAAATTCTTTTTTTTTTGGGTTCTCTTCTCTTTATTTTCCAGAAATGTTTTTCTTTTTTATTTTAAATTCATTATGTGTTTGGTTTTTTAATGAGGTAGTTGTTTTGGAACTGTGTAACAGAGCTTCTAAATTGGTTATTTCAGTAATTTTGTTAGCATTTATTTGGTGTTTACTAGTGAGATTTTAAGTACAGTAGGTGTAGGGTAGATTAATTGTCAGTATGGATGGAGACTGTGGAGAGTGACTTGAATTTTTTAATGGGTAGAGTTGAAACTGACCACTTAGGCTTTTGGTATAGAGAAATGCTAGATCTATGACAAATTTGTACTACATTTTTCTACAAAAAGGGAGAGAGATGGGAAGAAAAAAGAGAGAAGTATGCGATAAGATAAGTGATGCGGTGGAAAGAGACAGAAAGGAAAGTAATATTGTTGTAAAAAGTGTTGTAGAAAAATGTTGTATGAATGAGCTCTTGTAAGTATAAGTGGTTGGTATTCATGTATGTAATGTTGGCATTAGATCTGATGGTTATAGAAGTTGTGTACATAATTTAGGAATGCTGATACTAGTTGTTTTAAGTTAAGTTCAGTGTGTGTGAATGTATTGGGTTTTGAATTACAGCTGTGGTCATGGATATGTTGCGAACATACTAAGTTTGTTAGCTGTAAGTGTTTTGCATATGCTGAATGTGCTACTGACACAATCAAAGAATACAGGTATCAGGCAAGGTAATACATTTTATACCATCCTATCAATCCAAGTTAGCTTGAAACAGGGTGAAGACTGAAGGGCATGGCCTATGATGGCACCAGTAATCTTACTAATTTGAAATCTGGTGTATGTCATTGACATAGGGCATCTTATTCATAGGTCTTATTTATGGGTGACAATTAGGTTCTTTGTTGTTGACTTTATTATGATGTTTTTATCACCATTTATTTTGCTTATTTGCCTTTTGAACGTGTCTGCATTTACGTTATTCTATTATATTCCTTCCTAATGAGTATCTTTGATGTCGGGTAGATGGATCAATTCCTGCCATCAAATTATCAACTTATAGGCGTCGCTTAAACATTGGAAAGGAGGTTGGTATCTGTATTATATTAACATTTCTTTTCTTTATCATTCTCTCTCTCTCTCTCTCTCTATATATATATATATATATATATATATGTCTTCTGTACTTTGGCATATTGTTTTTACTTTTTCTTACTTTTTTTGTACTAACCTTGGTTAGTAAATAATTATAATGAAGGTTACACAGATCGAAACTAACTTACAGAAAGTGACTTCATTACGGAGAAACATGGGGTCTGAGTTTTCTTGCATGATTAAAGAGGCTAAAGCGTTGGGGATGGCCCTTGGCATTTCTTGTTTGAATGGGTAATATTTAATTGCACTTAAACTTCCTTGCTTTGTTTTAGAGGATGCTTTCATATTATGACTGGTAATTGTGGTATTAATATAAATTTTACTTAAATTAATGAAAAATGTAAGTTTGTTTATAAATTTATAATAGTAATAATAGTGTAGGAAGAAAAAAATGTACTTTTGTCAATTGGACTAATAACTATTCTTTTTATATAGTAGTATATATGAGATTGAGAGCACTTATTCATTATAAGAGACACACTGTTCTCAACATTGTAGTCGTATGCAGAATGCCTATGTAAAATGTTGAAAATGTTTTTGATGTCTTGTTGTAGAGGTACTAAACTCATGTTTATAAATCAATATTATCTGCTTTTTTTTGTTATTTCTAATAGTTGATTGAAAAATTTGCATAGCTAGATATTAAAGAAATTACTACACAATTTAAACTAATATTATCTTCCTCTTTTCCAAAATTCAGGATTGAAGAAGCTGAAGCCCAGTGTGCTTTGTTGAACTTTGAATCATTATGTGTAAGCACTGCCACTGTGTATACTTATCTGTCTTTGAACTCTTTTTTTCATCTACTTTGTAATTTCTGACATTCATTGGATATTTATGCTATAGCTGTTGGCTAACCTATCATTGTTATTGTCATTCATTGTTAATAACTGGTAGGATGGATGTTTCAGTTCAGATTCAGATATATTTCTTTTTGGTGCAAGGACAGTGTATAGGGATATCTGCCTTGGTGAGTAGATCACCTCATTTTATTATTGGTGGATTGTTTTTGTATAAATAATATTTTCATGCAACTTATATAAGGAGTTGTTTATTAATGAGTTAGGGGAAGGTGGATATGTTGTTTGTTATGAGATGCCAGATATTGAAAGAAAACTTGGATTTGGAAGGGACTCATTGGTAAATTTCTGATTGACTTTTCAACATCCTTATGAATTGCAATTCTTACTTGCTTTTCTTTTCTTATTTATTCTGTTTTTTTAATAAATGATCTTTCATTGTTCTGTGTTGTTCAATACAAAGTCAGGGCCCAAAAGAGAAAGTTAGGTCCATGAATTATAGGTTAATTTTTAACTTTCTGCTTCTCATCATTATGGGAAGCCTAATTGAAAGGCCTGTCAAAATTGAATTTACTTTGTAAAGGCAGTGTAATTGACCTTCAATTGTTTGAATTGAAATAGTTTTTCTTGTCTTGCGTTGAATATAGAAATTTACATGCATGCCTGACTATTTGGTTGTGTTTTTCCCCCCTCCTTACACGTTTTGATGATCTAATACTTATATTAGTGACATTTATGTCTTATCCAGTAAGTCAAAGTTCTAATTCTGTATATATGCCAATTCAAGCTTCTTGTGTTCTTTTTGCGGTGAAAATCAGTAACTGAGTTACTTGTGATCTTCAGATTGCTCTCTCCCTGCTTCTTGGCAGTGATTATTATCAAGGAGTTCATGGTCTGGGTCCAGTAAGTCCTAAATACTGTCTTTCATAGTGTTATTACCTTTTTGGCTTTTCACCCATTCTTGTTTAGCAGAGCTGAAGATTACATGTTACATGTATGCTTATGTTTTTTGCATGATTTTTCCCTTGGTTATAGGAGTCAGCTTGTCAGCTAGTCAAATCAATCGGGGACAAATTTGTTCTTAAAAAATTTGCTTCTGAAGGACTTGAGTGGGTTAAAAAAAGAAAAGGTATGCCGTTTTTTTATCTATATTGCATTCTAATTTCATTATCTTATATTATACAATTGTTACTTTTGTCAATAATTTTTTCAATAAATTTTGCACTCATTTTTCTTTAACTCAATTGTTACTATATAGAAATTTAAAGTTTAAAATTGACGGAATTGATATGCCTTTTATGCTTATTTTATGTCTTCTAGAATGTATTATCTGCATCAACTTGCATACAGATGATGGCTTCCAGTTAATATTTCTTTTGTCAAATGGAAGTTTGTCAGTGTCTTGTGAACCTTGTATTTTAGTTTCTAATTCTATCTTTTGTCTATGCAGGAGGAGGTGAGAATGAGTTACTGAGGGATGGTAACATTTTACAAGTGATTAATGCTTATATGAAGCCAAAATGCCACCCAGCAGATTCAGATATTGTGCACAAGTAGGTTTACAATTCCTAAAAATAGACTCTTAATAGTGATTGAAATATATTTAATATACTCACTATTCAGAACATGTGAAAACTTCGAGTCAATTGACTTGTGGGATTTATCATTGTATCTCAAGCTCTTTCAAACTAAGAAAGGTCTAATCTATGTGAGTATCTGTTCTCAATCCTGATTACTGATTTGGTATAAACTGAAAACTGATATGAAGCTCATATGCAAAGCAGTTATAGATATCAAGCATTTAGTTAAAATTTGGTTAAACTTCTGAGATTCATAATTGGAATTTTATTTTTGGTGTAATGAATTAGATCTGGAATATAAATAGTATGGCATTGTTATCAGCTACTTAACGTTTGACTCATTTATAGGGCTCTTGCTCACTATCCATTTCAACGTACTAAACTCCAGCAGATATGTGCTGAATTCTTTGAGTGGCCTTCAGAGAAAACAGGTTCTTCATCTACTTTGACATACTTATTCTTCTAGGTCTGGAATTAATACCTTGGGTGGAGTCATTTACTATTGTAAAATATCTTAATTTCTAATTTATTTTTTGGTTTGGGAATGGCCTGGGTGCACAACTGTGAGTACTTAGTAGTTAGTGAATACTAAATTGTTTATTATTTACATAACAAATTTTAGAGTTTACATTTAATCCTTATCTAACTCAGAATTCTTAAATGTTTGAACGTTCGAAATATAAAAAATTGAGCTGTGCTGTGTCTGGGCTGGAATTTTGGAAGATACTTTGTAATGCTAATTGGAGTTTCATGAAATAGATGGGTATATCCTTCCAAGTATAGCTGAAAGAGATTTACGGCGATTTGCCAACTTGCGTTTAACTTCATCTCAAGTTGGATTGGATCTTCCTTTACATGAGGTACTGCTAATCCTTTCCTATATACCTAATAAACAATTCAGTAGTTAAGTTCAAAGTTGTCTATCTCATTGAGTAATGTAAGTGTGCAATGGATTTTCTATTTGGTAATGTATAACAATGGTTCAATTTTTCGATGATCATTGATTTACTGTCACAAGCTTCTACTAGAGTCAGTATATTATCTATAAATGGGCATAATCTATCACAGTTTCTATAATACCATTAGTCTAATTTGTGAGCATGAATTGTATCTATGGGCTTCTTATTTTTTAACCAGAACATCTCTCTCTCTCTCTCTCTCTCTCATATAATGTGTCCGATCACAGATCCCTGTGAAGTGTCCTGTGTCAGAAGTCATTAAGAGCCGAAGAGTTCAAGGGAGAGAATGCTATGAGGTTTCTTGGGAAGGAATGGATGGACTTGAAACTTCAATAGTACCTGCAGATCTTTTAGAAAGGTAATGCTAATTACATAATTGATGAACTTGCTTCATTCCCTAAATCACCAAAAGGAAATTTTTTATTTTATCAAATGTATGTATTGCTTCCCTTTTGCATGCAACTTGAGCTATAATACTGTTTGGTTTATCGCTGCATCAAGTATCTGTTTGAACCACTCATTCAGTAAGGCCGGTGGGAAGATAACTTATTGTTTAGAGTACCTTTCTGATAGGAGTATAGGCCAGGATGGAAGTCTATATTTTGCTTTTGTATTGCCAATTATCATCTAAAAACGGCTAAAATGAAACGGTCCTGTTTATTAAATGTTTCTAATATTGAAGTCCCCTAAAAAATTCTTGAGCAATAATGGGTAAGAAGTTAATCTTCCATTTCCATGATGTATTTTGAAACTACTATAAGTCTATATAACAAGTTTCAGTAAATTGACCACAATATTAAATTTTATCGCTATGACATTAATATTATCATTATTGTCTCATTATCAATCATCTACAGTGCCTGTCCCGAGAAGATTTTGGGGTTTGAGAATAGAAAAGCTCAACAGAAGAAACAAAATATTCAGAAAAGAAGACCAAAGAAAAAGGAAACTGTGTCATCTGTGGCTGAGCTTGATCTACTCCAGAATTTGTTGCTGGACAATAATTTGAGAGACCAAGGCAAACTTAATGCCTCTGATTCTTCAGGAATGATCTCAGAGATTACAACTGCTATGGCTGAAGTTAATCTGAATACCAAAGACTTGTTGCCCCCATCACATGACCCACAACATAATGGGTTGATTGAGAACATTAGCAACATCTACGAGACTGTTTCCAGTGTAGATAAAAATGAGGTCATAGATCTTCTGAGCCCTTCCCCTCCTAAGAAACCCCTTACTTTCTCAAAATGTCACCAACCAAGTGACAAGCATATTGAAGTGATTAATTTGAGTGATTCAGAAAATGACATGTCCCCTGAACATAAGCAAAAAGCAAAGGAGCTGAGATTGTTCTTAGCTAGTATTAGGAATGAAATCCATTGAATTGCAATGATCGTACATGTAAGATAAAAGCAGGCTTTATCAGTGTAATTAAAAAATTTGAAATTCTGTAATGATAATATAATTCCTTTATATAAAACAAACGATTTGATTTTGATCCCTTAGTGAAATTTGGTTATCCAAATGGTTTAATCATGGGTACTTTATTGAAAGATTTGGATCACTCTTATAAAGCAGATCAACATTGGCAAAATTTGATTTTGGATACAAGACTTCGTTTCACTTTGTAAGGTTCTTAAGCTAAATTTTGTTAGTAATATGTAATGATTTAAGATTTTCAATTCCCTTAAATAGTTTGGTCGAAGGAGAATGAAAATTTTCCTTTTCATTAACTCACGGTGACACAATAAAACATAGATTGAATAAGAAAAAGAAAAGTTGAATTGAACAGGCACGGGTTGTGTTTCTAGTACGAAATGAATAATTTAGTTTTTGTTCTCGTGGTACATGTAGATTGATAAAATTAATTTTATTTATAATAAAAATAGTGTAAATTAATATAAATAAAAAATATGTTTTATTAGTAATTTTATTAAAAATATATTTACTTAATAAATAAATAATGTTTAGCTCTCAAAACTGTCGTAAGAATGACTTTATACTCTACAAAAATACATAAAACATAGCATATGTATGAAGTGAGAAAATATATGTTTAAAGTATCTAAAGGATTGCCTTCAATCTTGTATAGAAAATCTAAATAAATAATAGTTTATATCATGATGTAATATATCTTGCATTCTGAATTTCATTATTAAGGTACTATCTATTTTCCTTTCTCTTTTTTGTATGGCAATAACAAACCTTGAGACACTTTAGTTTTAAACCTCAACCAATTTTGCTACTGCTTGAGCAAAAATAGTTATAAATTTTTTTTAAATCGTGAAAAGGTAATAATCAGTCTTGCTAACTACTAAATCAAAACTAGTTAACTCGTGTTAAGAGCAACATATTTCACTATTCAATGCTTACAAAATGATATGAGAAAAACTACTTTAGATAAGTAAATAGGAAATTGTTTTTTAAAATGCATTTTTAGTAAATAAGAAAAAAAAATTGTGATATGGTTTGTCTTTAAAAATTTGAATAATCTTATATTATTTTAATAATTTTTTTACTTAGATATGTATGTCTTTCTAGATTAGTTCTTAGGAAATAAATTTTTAATAAGAAACTTTTAGTTTTAAATTGATTATACTTTTACAATATATATTTTACTACGAGTTAGGATATTTTCTAATATATATGTATGTAGTTTGATATTTATTTATATTTAAAAATGTATTATACATTACAATAAAATAATACGATAAAGTATTTATTATTTTAATTTTTTATGAAATTTTATAAAATTGATTTACTTATAAGAATTTTTAAATTAATTATTTGATTGATTAATTTTATATTATATAAAAATTATTAAATTATATAAGTATTTAAATTTAATACTTAGTATCACAAATATATATACACATATATATACTTGTTTTTAACAGTGTCTAAACTAATTTGCAAATTTAGAAAATTTTATTTATTAAACACATAAATTTGTCTTTAGCTTGTTTCATTATTTTTTCTTCACATATTTGTATGTTTAATTGACACGTGAAAATTATACTTTTTCATAAAACATCATATCCTTCTTTAAATATTTTATTCTTAAAAAAAAGTAAGATAAAAACTTGTTTCCATGTAAAAACTTATTTTCAACAATGTCTGCAGTGATTTGTATACTTTTTTAATATATAGAGCACACGTTTTCTCCAATCTATTTCACTTTTCTTTCAAAAACTGTTTCCATATAAACTAGTTTATCAATGGCAGTTGAGGTAATTTGCATATTTGATTTTTTTTTTTCCAGAACATAAGTTTGTTTCTAGCCTGTTTTACAACTTTAGTCGCCACATTTTTTTTTATTGATATATTCAAAAATAACTTTCTTTTAAACATCACATCTTTCTTTAATGTTTATTTTTTCTCCAGAAAGATTATTTTTCATGTAAACTTATTTTCAACGGTGTTTGAGATAATCTGCACATTTGAATTTTTTCATACAACACAACTTTGTTTTTAACTCATTTCACTTCTTTCTTCATAATTTTTTTAATGTTTGATTTGATACATGAAAAAGGTATTTCTTTTCACGAGATATGACATTCTTCTTAAATGATTTTATTCTCAAGAAAAGCAAGGTAGAAACTTTTTAATGTAAACTTGTTTTCAATCGTATGTGAGATATTTTGCATATTTGATTATTTTTAATAAAACACAAGTTTGACTCTAACGCATTTCACTCTTATTTCTTCACAGTTTTTGTATATTTGATTGATACATAAAGAATACACATTTTTATTAAAAAAAACATCACCTTCTTGAATGACTTTATTCCCAGGAGAAGCATAATAGAAACTTTTCATGTAAACTTGTTTTCAATGGTATGTAAGGTTATTTGCATACTTGAATTTCTTTTTATAAAACATAAATTTGTCTCTAGCACCCATCTCACTTTTCTTTCTTTTCGTTTTTCAATGTTTGATTGATACATGAAAAATATCTTTTTAAAAAAAAAAATCATATTCTTCTTAAATGATTTTATTCTCAAGAAAAGTAAGATATAATTTTCGTTATGTAAATCTTTTTTCAACAGAAGGTAATTTGCATAATTGGAATCTTTATATAAAACATAAGTCTATTTATAACCCAATTCACTTTTCTTTCTTTACATTTTTGAATGTTTGATTGTTACATGAAATAATATATCTTTTTTTTTTAATATCACATTCTTGAATGATTTTATGTAAACTTGTTTTCAATGTTCTCTATAATAGAAAGAAGTTAAAACTTTTTTTTCTTCATTTGACATCAGTTTTAGAATTTGTAATTTTTTTTTATTAAAATATAAAACACTGATCATTTTAGCCAATGTTACATATTATAAATTTATTACAATACATAACATACTCCTCAATTTATATACAAAGGACAATACGAATATAAAATGTGTGTTGTCTTTTTAATAATTGATTTGGAGTTATGACATGAAATAAATTATTATCTTTGATATGAAACAATATTTTTCCAGCCTTGAGGCTAGAGTCAATCGTAAACTCCTAGTTAGCTGGAGTCATTATCATATTATACATTAAATACAAGAACCAAAGTATATCCTCCTAAAAAATCATTATTTTGTTCATTGAAATTAATTAGTGTACGATTTTGGCATATAAAATGCATAGTTAATAGTTAACTAAAAATGAAATCTTTGTCAATCTTCTGATTTCTATATGTTCACAATCACAATTAGTACAGGTGTTAACTGTTGACATTAAATAGGAGCATCTATGCTCGAGACTTGAGTGGGTGTTAAAGAGAAGACATTGATTTAATTAAACACTTTTTTAAGTGTTTAAAGATATAAAATAATAATTTATATATAGTAATAAATTTTTATTTTTAAATTATTGCAAAATACTATAGAATTCAGTAAATTAATAATATTAAATATTATATTTTTTAATGAAAATTTATTATTATTAATTTTTACAGTGTGTCTTTAGACACATTAAACAATTGTTAATTAAAGAATACATGACTTAATAGCCATGCCTAAGCCACAAAAAGGTCTAGTTCAAACGCTAGTTGTTCCGTGGTGCATGTCATTCATCTGAAAAAGAAACTAATTTATTTAATTTAGGAAGGGAATCCCATACCAAGATCTTTTCAACAAGGACAACCATATTAGGGTTCTTCCTTTTGTGAGTTTTGGTATATCTTTAAACTATTCAAAAGCTTTAGAGTGCCTTTCGTTTAATTTGAAAATAGTTGTTTTCTTAAGTAATCTAATAAATTAAACATGAAATGTATACGAAAATGTTCACGAGAATTTGATTCTGTTGGGATGTTGCTGAGATTCTATGCTTAAAATATATTGATTACATGATTGGATTGTCACATGGCGTATATAAATGCCATAGTTGAGAGAAGTTTACTCTCAATGCCCCTTCTTCAGAAAAGATAGTAATTCCAACGTGGAAATTTAAAATGGTTCAAATGATTATCAGCAAAGTGCATGAGCTTTGGCTCCCTCAGTGAGACCTACAATGGAAACTTCAGATAGAGATGATAGAACATGAAAGAAAAATAAATTAGAGAAGAGATATACAATTTTAATGTAGAAATCTTCTATATATAAAAAAGAAAAAACTACATGATTTAGTCTAGAAATATTCCTCACTAAAAAATGGGTAATAATCATAATAATCTTTCTCAGATGTTTTAAGGACCCCCTTAAGGTAACAACGTTTCTTTCTCTTTTTCATTTTTGAAAGCTTATACAAAATTATTCTCACACAACCAATTATATCAATTGTTAGCCACTTACTTATAGAAGAACATAAAAGGTGTAATTATTATTTTCAATTCCAAGATTGATTTTGTTCTTCAAATAAAGTATAAGTAAATCTCTGTCACCTACAAAATGAGCAATCCATTTGCAGCACGTTCTTCGTAGAGAACCGATTTTAGAGAAACCCCAACATATTAATTGTTCATTGAGTAAGCTTTTGTGTTATATTGGAAATTAAGTATGCACTTTTTTTCAGGTTTATAATAAAAATATCATGATTATATTTATTATTTAATATTTAATATATTATTAATTAATTATTAATCACATGACACGCTTTCGTTCACTGTTGATAGATTATAAAATAAATTGATACTATATTGTATTTAAACTTTTACGATAGATATTGAAAATGATTTTTTTTTCTATACAATCTTAAAGATCCATTTAACAAATAACCACTTATAATTAACAACTTTCAAATAGTTCTAATGTAATTATAATTATATAAATTAAGTCTCATATCTTTAATATATACTTACAACAAATGTTAGGTGGTTTATAAATTTTGCCATGTACCATGTAATTTATTTAAATTTATGGATGGATTTGGCTCATTTAAAATGATAAGTATAGA